TCTAAAAACAAAACAAAACCCTTAAGGGAATTAAAGGATGTACAGGGTGGGGTAAAAATGGGTTTATAGCTGTTTATGTAGAATAATTAATAAATAATTATACAAGAATAAACTGTTTCACATACCCGCAACTGTAAATCTACTTTTGCCTCACCCTATATATTCCAGGTGCTTTGATCATCGTCCCACCCAATCTCATTTCTTCCTGAAGCCCAGAAGTAATGCCTGTCTTGACTACTGCATATATCTTTCCAGTTTTTTTTACTTTCTTTCTTAAGAAATAAAATTTAACAGATACATTTACCTTTAACTGCCCACTCCTTCCCCAATACTGTTTCTCTCCCTCTTATCACTAGATGAGTTTGGAGTTTACCTTCCTAATCCCTATTAAATTAAATACCATGCTTTTACATGCATTTGTATATATCCCTAACTGATACATAGTAGTAATATTTTGAGGCTTTATTTCCAATGTTTTATGTTTTTAAATAAAGAATATGTATGTATAATATATATGTATACATTAAACATGCACATTTTAAAAGCGTATCCATAGAAAAAAGACTGGCATGGCAGTAAACAATAAAATATAAACAACTGTTTATTCTCAGTATCAAAAATTATGTATGATTTTTCAAAGTATGCACCTAGTGCTTATTTAGTTATTTATATTCCCTACAATACAAGCCTCATGAGAACCTGTTCAAGGTATGGAAAGAGCCCGTGTGATTTTATGTCCCAGTCACTGAGATGACACTGTTTTGTAATGGAATTAGATTTCCAGGCTAAATACTTTCTTAGAATTGGTGGAAGGGAATAAGCAGATTTTGTCTCAGGTGACTAACAATAACCTCTTACCTGCTATGAGGACAGATGCTGTATACTTGTATTTGTTGAATTCCAAATACTCCCGAATTAATTCATTAATAAGAAGGTTTTCATGAGATAATGTTGGTCGGGGCACACTTTCATCATCTAGGGCACTGAAAACTTCAGCTCGAATTCTTGCTTTTAAATGCCCTAAGACTCCCCTTTTCTCCAAGGTGTCCTTTAAAACTGTTAAATATAAAACATTAATGCTTCAGTTATAGAATAAATTTTTTCATTCTTAGGCTTACTTTAAAGAAAATGGTTTAAAAGGTAAATTGCCCAACAGCAGCTTTCAATCTAAACATTGTGATGAACTGAACAATTACCACATTCACTACCACAAGCCATGTATGTAATAAAAAATAAAGTTCCTACCCAGCCGGGCATGGCTCAGTGGTTGAGCATCAACCTATGATCCAGGAGATGGAGGTCTGATTCCCCTCCAGGGCACATTCGGGGGTGTGGGCTTGATCCCCAGCAGGAGACAGCCAATCAATGACTCTCATCATTGATGTTTCTATCTCTCCCTCTCCTTCCTCTCTGAAATCAATAAAGATATATTTAAAAAAAAAAAAAAGTTCCCATGTTGGAGTAATTTACTATTTTAACATTTAAGAAAATTCAAGTTTATACTTCCAACGTTGTCACTGGCACAGGCTACAGTCTGATGCACATTTTTCAGTGGAGGAAAAAGGGGGGCTAGAACTATAGTCAGCATACTGGGACTTGAACTTAACCCTCAATGTCTCATACATTTTCAAGAGTGGTTATCACTGCAGACAGGTTCTGTGTGTCCCCAAAAACCTCTGGTCTAGAAAGAAAATGATTAAAGGTTACAAGTACACTCCATAAAAGGAAGGAATATGTCCTGTCTTTTGTATAGAAACCTTTGATATCCAGAACTCTTGGGGAATGGCTCATTCTGAATGAAAAGGTGGGTTTTGGTTTTTTGTTTTTTAAAGACAATTAGAAGTTAATTCCTTAAGCAAAAAGATTTTGAAATTTTAAGCCTAGTCAGAAATCTAACACAGAGTATATCACTGCCATCTTAAGAAATCAAGGATATATATGCTCAATGTAACCTAACTTCTTGATGAATAAGGGTCATTATGACAAATATTAGTAGTTGTGATGAGATTTAGCAATAGGTATTAGTATCGATAGTAAAGACATAGAACTGAATTGGCACCATCCTTGCAGGGGTCTAGAACCTTCTTTTTTCAAATTGCCCCTAATTGCTAAATAACAACTGCAGAGAGTCAACACATATCACCCACAGTGCCTAGAACAAAGTAAGAGCTCAATAAATGCTACCTAGGAGCATTATAATATAGTGCCGTATACTACTGGCTATAATAAATATAGATTAATACCGTACTGTGCCCTGTCAAAGGCACCAAATAACTACACAATAATGAAAATTCATAAAGGGGGCCCAGGAACATAAGTATTTTTTAAGTTTTCATAAATAACAAAAACCTGGTCCTATGATTAAAGAGACAGAATCTAGACTAGACTTAAACCTTTCTTACCCCTAATTTTAAAATCACCCCCTCAAACTCTTTGCAGGTATGTACGTACATATGGTTATCACCAAATCAGACTTTGTAACAGGCCCCTAGAAGGAAGGTATAGCCTTATTGTATCCTTGGGATCATAACCAAATCCCTATTCTCTAATTCCATCTTTGGAAATTAGATGGAAAGATTTTTTTTCCACTGGCAAGGATCTCGGCCCAATTACTTGGCATTTGCACACAGTACAGCCTCAAATTGGGCAGAGAAATGAGTGAAGCCGGAGCTAAGAAACCCAGCCTAGCTCGCCACCACCCCGGCGGTAGGTCGCCAGCTCGGGCCTCAGTTGCCTTCTCCAACATGAGCTCTACCTCTCAGAGGGAGAACCAAGTGAGGTGGAAAAACGTGAAAGTGCTTAAAAAAAAAAAGGTAAAAGCTCCTAAAACGTAAGATAAGTGACTGGCAAACGCCCGATTCCCAAGGAATTCTTCTAGGGTTCCCTGTCGCTTTGCCCTTCCCTCTNAAAAGGTAAAATCTCCTAAAACGTAAGATAAGTGACTGGCAAACGCCCGATTCCCAAAGAATTCTTCTAGGGTTCCCTGTCGCTTTGCCCTTCCCTCTATTATCGTGCTGAACAAACACACTGCGCCGCAACAGCTCCTTCAGAAAGAGGTTCTTAATCTGGTTTGCATCTCGCGCTCTATAAAGTTGTAGGCAATGCGATGGTCGACATGCGCCTCCTAGGGAGAGGGCTCGTGGACTGATGCGGCGTCTGTCCTTGCGGCTACAGGCATGCCTTTCCTGTGACTGTTCACCAGCCCAGGGCCACAAATACACATTCATTTCCATGGTTACCGATTCATCGCAAAGAGACTCAACCCCTCCCCGCCAAGTCTCTAAGAATTCCTGGCTCAGGCCCCACGTGGGGTTCCCTGAAAACTGGAACCGGCTTTATTAGCGCAGCAGTAGAATCGCTCAGTGATCTCGCCCTGAGCTCAGGAGCAGCATTATCTAGTTCTCACTTAGGGTGAGAACTTTCTGGCTACATCCCTTAGGGTGAGCCCGTTCCACCTCCCAGCGCCTCAGCCTCCTAACGTATGGAAAGGGCACAGGGTTGTCACATGGAGTCAGTTAGGTAACAAAGGGGCTGGGCAGTGCCTGGCATATGAGGCTGAATCACTCATAACTATAATTATTAATATTACCTGTCTGGATACCTGCGTCAAAACTAACGGTGTGCAAATGTTATCAGCTTACAGACTCTTCTTTGTGGAACTCTTCCAAAAAAGACAGAATAGCCAGGCCAGCCAACTTTCTACCTCCAGTTTTTCCCCCCACGACAGAAAATCGGGACCTGCCTCCCAGGCTGTTAGGACGCAGTGAGACAACCGACCAAACGGCTTAGGGCTGTGCCTACCATCAAGAGTCTGTGGATACCGTCAACATCGGCCCCGCGTCAAAGGCCCACGCCAAGGCCCCGGTTCCAGGCGGGGTCCAGAAAAAATGCGCCAGAGGCCCAAGGTGCAGGACTGTAGACCGCTCAGGTACCTGCAGATTCTGCGACTCCTGCTCCAACTCAAAGCCGGTTTAAAAACTGCCCCGAACTACCCATTCCCTCCGGGGCCCTGGCGCAGCGGCCACCCCATCAGCCGGCCCCGCAGGCCCTGACGCCGCAGAGCGACCGCCCGGAAAGGCTGACTCCTGCTCCGCGCGCCCTCCTTTCGTCGCAGCCTTCTCACAGTCCGCAGACCAGAAGCATTCCACCTGACAAGCCCCCCACTCTCACTCACCAGCCTTGAGCTCCGTGACAGTCGCCATTTTTAACGGCCGCCAGGGGCGCGCCTCCGTCGTGCGCACGCGCAGCCCCGCCCCGCTCCGCTCCGCGGCGTGGTTTGTAGCCAATAAACGCGCCGCTCTCTCCGCGTCCAGTCCCGCCCCTCTCAGTTTCCGGGCTCCGCGGTTACGGGTGGGTGGTGACGGTCAGGAGAGACCCCCAACAATCGTCCTGCGCTCTAGGCGGGCGCTGCGAAGGGAGGCGGGAGAGGGCGCGGGGCCTGAGGCTGGGGGAGCGGGGGCTGAGGCAGGTCGGGACCTTACAGGTACCGGGTGCTGCTGGCACCTAGCGCTTAACTTTAGCCCGTAAGTCTTTCATGATCAGCCCACTCCCGGCCTCTGCAGCCTCGGGCACTAATTGTTAATAGTTACCGTGCAATAAGCCTGAGGTTCTCCAGCTTGAGCGTGCAGCAGAAGCATCAGGAAGGCTTGTGAAAACAGATAACCGGGGAGTAAATTCTGATTCAGTGAATCCGGATGAGGTCCAAAGAATGGCGTTTCTGACAAGTTCCAGGTGACGCCGATGCTGCTGGTCTGGAGAACCACCGTATGAAGTACTTACTATGAGCCTGAAATGGTGCTAAATGCTTTACACACGTTAGTTCGTTGATTTTTTTTTTCTTTCTATTATTATCTCCCAATTTACAGAGGAGAAGCTGAGCCTCTGATGACTGAAGAGACTTCACCAAAAGTCACCGACAAATGGTGGAGGTGAGATTAGAATCCAGGCCTCTTGCTCTTCAAAGCCTGCTCGCTGCCACTGGCACTCGATAGTACTGGGCAATACATAAGGAGCCCAAGGGCTGTTTGTGAAAATGCTTGATGAACGGAGAAGCTCCAGTATCCCAAGGGAATGAAGAAAAAGGAACATGGTAATAATAATGCACCCAAAACTGAGCGTGAGGCTCTATGATTCCAGTTGTATGGCCAAGAAGGCCAGTATCTATGACCTCAGTCCTAGAACAATGCCCTTGAAACTGCTGGTCTGAACCCCATAGTAGCTTTTGAAATCTATTTATTAGTGGACCCCCAATGAATGTGTTTTTAATGGAATGGAATAAACAGAAAAGAGGAATATTGGGTTTTTTTTGAAACTTCTGTTTGGGGTATATAATATGTGTATCCTGGTTCCTCGTGTATTTCTTAAAGTGGGTAGCAGTCGAAAAAAGTTGGAAAGCCATTGTAACCTAGAAGAATCCATTTCTGTTCCAAACTAGATTAATTTTGACCTGGGACACAGATCTGTTCTGTTACCTTAGAAAGGTCCTATCTGGCCCTGCTGGGCGGGGCTCAGCGGTTGAGCGTGGACCTATGATCCAGGCGATCCGGGTTCGATTCCCGGTCAGGGCACATGCCTGGGTTGCGGGCTGCAGCCAATCAATGACTCTCGTCATTGATGTTTCTATCTCTCCATCTCCTTTCCTCTCTCTGAAATCAATAAAGATATATTTAAAAAAAAAAAAAAAGAAAGGTCCTATCCTGTGACACTTCCCTGTTCTGTAAAACCCACAGGGCCGAAATTCCTGGCCAGCATCTGAAGAGATGTACAAGGATTAACTACATTCCTCAGGGAGAATGTCTGAGCTCTTCAGAGAAAAGCATTCCTAAGGATACTGATGATGAACTCAGAGAGAGAGGCAAATAAAAATGGAATTGACTGATCCGTAGTGGTCATCATATAATAATTAACAGCCACGGCCACTCTCTGTATGGCAGGCACTGCTCTAAAAGCTGTACTTTTAAGTCCTCACCAACAACTCTATGAGGTAGATACACAGCAATCATCTAACGTACAATTTCATTTAAAAATGTACTGAAATTGGCTAATACACTGTGTTGGTGAGGATGTGGGGAAACGTGCCTTACATCCCAACTGTAGTAGGCGGGTAAATTGGCCCCACCTTCTCAGAAGGCTGTTTGGCAATACCTAATCAACCTTTCACACCCTTTGATCCACCAGTTCTAGTTTTAAGAACGTACCTCACAAATACATTCCCACCTAATTACGAAGGATATGTGTGTAAGAATGTTCACTGCAGCACAGTTTATAGTAGAAAAGGCTATCTACCTATCAGAATGACTGAAAGAAAAACAACTGACAATAAGAATGAATACTGGCGAATGTACATGTCTTGCTGGTAGTATAGTCACTTTGGAAATCTGTTTGGCAACTGCTTATTAAGTCGAACATGCATTTACTATACAACCCAGTAATCCTACTCCTAGGTGTTTACCCAAGAGAAATAAAAACTTATGTCCATGCAAAAGGCAGTATGTATTTATAGCAGATTTATTCATAATTTCCCCAACTGGAAACGACACATTGTCTTCCAACTGGTGAATGGTTAGAAACTAACTGGTATATAGGTACCATGGAATATCAGTCAGTAATAAAAAGGGAGCAACCATGGATACATGCAACAATATGAATGAATCTTAAATGCATTGTGTTGGTGAAAGGAACAAGACTCAAAGGCTACATCCTGTATGATTCAATTTATATGTCACTTTGGAAAAGGCAAAGTATAGGGACAAAAAGCAGATCAGTGGTTGCCAGGCTGAGGATGAATGAAGGGAGCTGATTAAACAGGCTCATGAGAGAGATTTTTGGAATGATGGAACTGTTTTCTACATCTTGGCTGTGACTACACGATTGTATATGTTTACCACAATTTATAGAGCTGTACACTTAGAAGGGTGAAGTTGACTGTACATATACTTTGATTTGACTTCTAAAAAATTACTGGAAATACCAATATCATCAGTAGGGAGACTGGTTAAGTAAATTAAAGTACAGCCATAAATGAAATATTATGCAGCCATTCCAAAGAAGAATGTGTTCTAAACACACACACACACACAATCAGCAAGATGCATAGATAAAAATTTTAAAAAGCACAGTCCAGTAAATATTGTGTAGTATGTCACCAATGGTTTAAAGAAAGGGGAAATACTACGTATTTGTTTTCCTATACATGGGCTACTTCTGAAAAAATATACAAGAAAGTACAAACAAAAATTGTCCCTATGGAGCAGGACTTGGTGACTAAGAGTCAATGGTGAGAGAAAGACTTTTCTTTTTCTTTTTAATTTTTTTCTTATTATTTATTTTTGTTTAAAATATTACAGATGTCCCTTTTTCTCCCCAATGCCCCATTCCACCCCGTCCCTTCCCCTTCCCCAGTCCCTCTCTCCTCCATTGTCCATGCCCTTGGGTTGTGCATATATGCATATAAATTCTTTGGTAACTCTCTCCCTCTCCACCTACCCACACTCCTCCATCCCTCCGACATTCGTCAGTTTGATCTATGTTTCCATGTCAGAATCTATTCTGTTCATCAGTTTATTAAGTTCTTTAGATTTCATATAAAAGCGAGATCCTGTGATGTTTGTCTCTCTCTGCCTGGCTTATTTCACTTAGCATAATATTCTCCAGGTCCCTCCATACTGCCCCAAAGGTTACGAGATCCTTCTATACAGCTGCATAGTATTCCATGGTGTATATGTCCCACAGCTTTTTTATCCACTCATCTACTAATGGGCAAAAACTTACTTTTCAATCCATAGAAAAATTTCTATTTACATTTCTAATTATGTGCATACATTACTGTGCACAACCAGCTGTGTGCAGGTACAACCTGATAGCACTTCCTCTCCACTGCCTTAAGTACCCTGACGTGCTCAATTTTTGAAATGGGAAAAAGTTAACACCTCCCTTGACCAATGGTAGCCAGTGGACAAGCTATGTCTCAAGTGGACATTTCTGAGACATAGTTCCTTAGGGGGTCTTCCGTGTATTGAGACCTCGTTGCCCAGAGCAGTAACCAGCTCAATAGCACACCATTGCATTGGTTATACCTCCTTTCCTATTTCACTCTCACAGTTTCCTCACTCAAGTTTCCCAGAATTCTTCACAAGATAAACTATTTGCAAATAAGCCCTTGTCTCAGATTCTGTTTTTTGGGTTAGACTAAGCTAGGACAATTATATTTCCTCATCATTGCAATTATGAGCCTCAGCTTCTAGACACAGGGTCATCTCAAGAAGAATAAACAGCCGTACATGAACTTCATGGAATCTGAAATGACAAAATCTTCTGATGATCAAATGGAAATTCTATTGCTGTGTCTCACTTTTTGTTTTATTGCTATGCGATTTTGTAAACCAGTGCGGATCTATGTAACCGGTGTGTGCAGAGAACGTTCCAAGTGAGGGGAGAAAGTACATAGAGAAGGGACCTGAAATCTCTTCTCAAACCACAGGGTCTTGTTTTGGTGGTTTAATAATCTTAGTTGGGGAAGTTGGCAAATGGAACTGCTTCCTGTTTCTGTAAATAAAGTCTTATTAGAACACAGCCATGCCCTTTTTCTGATCTATGGTCTGTGGGTCCTTCCACACTATAAGAGTTGAGTACTTAAGGCCGGGGCCAGATAGCTCAGTTGGTTAGAGCCTTGTCCTGATAACACCAAGATCACAGGCTAGATCCCCCGTCAGGGCACATATAAGAATCTACCAATGAATGCCTAAATAAGTGGAACCACAAGTCAATGTTTCTCTCTCTCTCAATTATCTCTCCCTCTCTCTCTAAAATAAATAATAAAAAAAAGAATTGAGTAATTAAAACAGAGACCACATGGTCCACAAGCTTAAGTTGTTTAGTTACTAAGGAAAAGTTTGCCGACTTCCTAATTCCTCTTCTATAATTTTTCTAGGCAAGGGGTGCATTATTAACACACCATTATTATTTTCTGAGCAATAAACACAGCAACTGATATTGATGAAGCATGTGTTATTTCACCTCATCCTAAAAACAACGGGGAGGCAGGTATTATCCCCATTTACAGAGAAACTGAGATGTGGAGAGTTTAAGTGACTGAGTAAATGGCAGAGTCAGGACCGGACCCCGAGCCCACTGACCATATTCGACTATTTCTGAATAGTTGAAATAAGAGGCACTTTTCCCCTTTCCCTCCCTCCCTTACTGCTGGGTC